GCTCTTCTTGAAAGACCGCTAAAAAAACCTAAACTATCCACATTTTAGATATGTGAAACTTATAAACAGGAGGATTGCTACCGTCCAGCAATTGGTACCGGGGGTACCAGTACCGCCCGGTACTGAAGCAAATCGGTCCGTCCATCCAGAGAGGGTAGGATCGGGAAAAGCGAAAGATCGCAAGCCTAATCTTCTTCCTCGGCGCCGCCGCTTTCTCATCTCCTCTTGCGCTAGTTTTTTCCTCCATCCGCCAGGATTCCCCATCCGCGTCCGCACAGCAGCGCAGCGAAACCACCGGCACACACGGCCCGATCTCCTTCATCGGCACCGCATGACCAGCAAGCACAGCCCAATTTAAGTTGTCGTTATCCAGAACAGAGCATGATCTGCTGTCTTTGTTATGTCTGTGTGTATTTTGTTCTGAAAATTTTGTCTTGGTGCACCTGAACGAGTGGACGGGGAACCTATTTTGCTGAACAGAGCAGGATTTGCGCTGCTGCATATGCACCACAAAGACGAGTAGCCATTAGCGAGCGATGGCTTGCAACCATCCATCGCTACTCATCAACCGAAATCAACAAGAAAATAAATTGTGTCCTCTGCTATTGCAGCTTTATGATAATAGACCTTGAAATTGATATTGATAGTTGGGGAAAATAAGATTCCAATATGACTCAACAAATTTTCCAATATAACATCCAAAAAAAATCAACAACAGCAGTTTACTTTTGCAATGCCTGCAAACGACTCCTCGACCACCGGCACCACTGCAATAGCACACGAAGAGTCCAGATGAAAACTGGAGCATCGCGCCGCCGCCACATCGTAGCGGCCTCATACAACTCCATCTCACCACAACCACTATGCAGTCGCCGCCGTCAACGCCCCAGCTGCCGCCTCCAACAACTCCACGACCACCTCACCACCGCGGCCGCGAACGCCCCCACCGCAGCATCGCTAGTTTGACGACTCCACGACCACCTCGTCGCTGCGGCCGCCAATGCCTCCGTCGCCGGCGGCACATCGCCTTGTCCGACAACTCCATGACTACCTAACCACCTCGGCACCTCGCCGCCACGGCAGCACATGCACTGGTGCACCAGGCCACCAGCCACCGCGGCTACATCATCGGACAGAGGAGATTCAAGATTAGAAAACTAGGGTTCACCTCAATCGGACAAAAACTAGTACCTACGCGAAAATACAATATTGCCCTTCCACCTTCTATTCATGGTCAGTACCGTATCAGGGTCAGAACTGGTACCTCGCGGAACCAAACTTCCTCAGCCGTTGGATCTGGCCGAATCCAATGGCTAGGATTTGGTACCGCTAGGTACCGTTGGACGGGAGAAATTCTCTATAAACAGATGACTGGAAGGATGCCAAGGCATATGCACATACGGTTATTTAGAATTGGCAAACCACCTAGAGTGCAATCAATCGCTATAGAGACGAAAGGAGGACTATAATCAAGTTTGCATGGGTAAAGAGTAAAGGGATAAAAAAATATAAAAGCAATAGATTGCTTTTGGATTGGATATCTCAATCGCTCGTATCTTTCATATCCCTTTATATCTGTATATATTTATAATGTTGGGAAGTCTTATTCTTTATACAGTCCGGATTTGTAATGAATTTGTGAAGAATAAAACCTCCCCTTTAGGACTACCTAAAACTGAGTTATTCGTGTTAGCAAACCGAAGCATTCGCTTTTCTAAGGATGTGCCAATTTTAGCTATTAACACTTTTTTTCCATAAGGTAGATTATATTAAATAATAGAAGGTATTACAATCTTGTCGTTACATGTGATAAAGACGATTGATATATCAAAATGAAACAAAAGAGGCTTCATATTTTTGGAGAGACATTAGATATGCAACCAGACGAGTGCAACATGAAGTTGACCTACTATGGCACATAAAAGCATATGAACAAATATCGATCAAACATCTCCGTTCCTCCGATAAAAAAGCAAGCGGCCAACATCTCAAACAAGTCTACCCACACCACAAAGCCGACAACATCGTATTGATTATCTATGACCTAACAAACAAGCCTTACTTTGTCGAGGACCTCGTGGACCAAGCAACGGCTAACAAAGACATAGAAAAGAGACAAAAGACTCCAAGTTAAATAACCCTAACTCCATAAACATTATAAAAAACAAACCCTAGATAACTTGATAGATCTAATCTTAAAGACTTTATTAAGAAACTCTGAAAATTTTACAAGAGACGGATGAGAGATCTAATCGATCTTTTGTCCTCGCACAAAGGATGAGGGAGTACAATATTCGCCAAAACTCCTTGATAATCTTATTTTTGGTAGGGGCCTAGCCCTTATCTTTATGCTGCTCTCTATCTAATTTTTAAGGACTGATGAGATCTGACTAAACTTCTCAGTATATCATCACATTTTTCTCAAACTTGTTTCTTTAGGTTTCCAGCATATTCTAGGTCGATCTATGTTGGCCAATTTCCAGACTTATTTTTGTCTCGTCTAATGTAATGCATGTCGTCATGATGAATAAATAGGGTCCCGAGCTTTCGATAGGTATTGATAACTCTCGATTTGGCGGAAACTTGACACAAGTCGATTCGGCTTCTGAACGAACACGCTCTTGAGCCCCGCAATAGCAGCACCACGTCTCCTCTGGTTATCAACCATGCCGAAACCCGGTTGACCTCGCCGAAAAGGCTAATCCCTGCACGTGAATCGAAGAACACAAGCAAGAACAAGATAGATTGCAACACAATTGCATATGAACGATTAAGTACTCAAATTTGGGGTTCCACAAACCGATCTAGCGGCGAAACTGTTCTTGACAGATTAATCTAAGCAAAACCCAAACCCTAAAGGTGACGGCGGGTACTGATATATAGAGTTTAGGGTCATGCAAACAACCCTTGATGCAACCCTAATGGGTTCCAACACGATACACTGCCCAAAGGCCCAAATACGACGACGTAGCACCGGGACAGATTCTGGACGTCAACTTGTTCGGTCGATTCCCGATGACACGGAAAGAATTTGGATATGGGACCAGAACCATTGGAAATGTTATCTTCTTAGCTTTTCATCCATATAAAGAACTCCCCAATCCAAGCACATATGCGACCTGGGCGCCCGTTTTAGTGCAAACTGGTCCTAGACTCCGAAACGTACGTACTCGAAGTCGACTTGATTTGGGCCTCCATCTTAACTTGGACGCCCTTACTGATCCTCCACAGTTCTAAGTCCCTCCGTAAGTGTCTCCTTGTCCTCTCCATTGTACCTAATCATAATATAATCATTAGATAGCAATCTATTCTCAAAATCATATAAAGAAGAACATAGGAATGAACTCACCTCTAAATTCAATTGTCGCGCGCGAGCTCTTGTAATTGGTCCTTGAATGACTGGTGGAGGATTGTTGTGTGTATCCGAAGGAGTGATGTCCCTCATCACGTCATGGACGCTGCACTCTTTAATTGTTAGAAATTACAACATATTCATAATCATGTTCGATGGAAATGCACATGGTACTCTGTCATCATTGAGGAAGGCCATTCACATTGTGTTTCATTCTAAAATTACTTTACTATTTGTAGTGTGTTGCTACTAGCTTGTTATGGCTCTTCAACCATGGTATATCTTGTGGCTCATCTTATTGCGGTTTCTATTCTTATCTTAAACCTTGTTTAGGTAAGCTTTGGCATGCCAATCTTTTTTTAAAAACACTTTGGCATGTCAGATGATGAGAAGGGTTAGGCCCTGTTCGATACTGAAGTTTTAACTAAACTAGTTGTGGCATACGAAGCAAGATGAGATATTTAGTGCACGATTGATTAAGTCTTAGCTATTTTAAACATGATAAATAGATTTATTTGATTTTATAAAAAAAACTTCTATATGAAAAGTTTTCTAAAACTTGCTCGTAGAAAACACATGAGTAGTGCATCAAATGATGCCTTACTTTCATGTAAATCACGATGCTTTACGATATGAAGGAGTGTCTAGGCAAATAGGAGTCAAGACATCAAATTGTTTTGAGTATTGTTTTTCTTCATCCACACTTAAAGATATGTTGTCACTATCTTTATACTATAGCCTTTTGCCAATCCGTCCTAGCATTATATTGTTCACTATAGCTCTCCAAATTAAATATGGTGAATCATGTGCCTATCTTGTCGTTATGTTTAACTCTTTCAAACTTTGCATATCTATGGTATTCCATATTATTTTAACATAAAAATATCCGCTTTTGAGAAAAAGCAGTGTATTGCTATTGGATGCCTTTTCCGCATAAAACAATTAGAAAGATTTTGTACTTTTAAATCTCGTAAAGATCCATACAAGAAAGAAACATATAACACCTTTTCTCTTACACCCGCCTTATCGTTATTCTAGATACCATACTCACCACATTAGCTTAACTACCGATCATCTCGTCATCATTACTGAAGTCCTCGTATAAACATATGGTGACACTACTTTAGACATGTTATCGTCTTCTCGTATCGAAATCCTATTGTTAGCTTCTCCACTCATCTCGAGCTAAGGAGTCTTTAGCTGTGAATCCAATAATATCTTTGCCGACCTCTACAGCGAACAATATTTATCACTGATCAACAAAATAACCGTTTTAGCCAAATGAAAATAAAAAATACTATGTTTACCGATATGGATTCATGGCAACCGTTTCTGCTCGGTCACATGCTAACAGCCAGCCTGTTAACAAGGAAAAGAAAACAAAATTAATATAATATATATCTATATACTCAGAAGTTGATTTTTTATAGAATGAATGTAGCAGTAAAGAATTGAGTGCAAAATCAACGTCCTCACTGCAGCTCCGAGTCTCTCACACGGCATACCGTTGCGTTGCATGTCCCGCACGCCGTAGAAGAAAGCCAACAGTTTCGGTCCGGACGGCCGCAAGCAGAAAGCGCGACACCCAAAACCAAAAGCCGGCGGCTACAAAGAATCGCGACGTGCAAAAATCTTTCACGAAAAGGCAACAAAAAAAAGATAAAATAAAAAAGAAACCGGACACGAGCGACGCACCAACCTCTCCCTCCTCACCTCCCCCGATGGCTAGCGCCTCCTCAGGCGGCGCGGGCGGCGGCGGCGGCGGCGGGCCCCACCCGTCAGCCTCCCCATCCGCGGCGGGCGGTGTTCCGTCGTCGTCGTCGTCGGAGGCGTCGCTCGACGGTGGCTTCCTCCTCCGCATCCTTCAAAACCCTCCTCCCCAGACGCGCCACCAAGCTCCCCCGCCGGTCGCCGCCGCCGCCGCCGCCGCCGCGGCCGGGCCGCAGCAGGTCTTCGTCGACCCCGCCGTCGCCGCGGTGGGGCCGGCCTTCCCCTCCGCCTCGCCGCAGCTGCAGCACGGCGGGGGCTTCGCGTGGCCCTCCCCGGCCTCTAATCCGCAGCCGCAGCCGCAGCCGCAGCTCCGGTTTCCCGATCCCCGCCTCGCGCAGCCGCTGGATCCCTACGTGGTGCTCGGATATGGCGGCTCCGGTGCCGTGGATGGGGTCGCCGGGAGCAGAGCGGTGAAGCCCAGGTCAGCGGCGCCGCCTCCCGGATTCGCCAAGGCATCCCATCCGCCGTCTTCCTCCTCCCGTGAGACGTTGAATGCGTTTGGTGGAATGCACAACAGGGAGCAGAGGAGGGAGCCAAGCCACCAACATCCGAGGGGTTTCGGTAGATCGCTGGAGAAAGAGCAGCGGGTAGTGCAGCCTTCTGCGGGTGGCCATGAAGCATTAGGTGTAGCGCCCCCGCGAGAGCTGCATACAATGCAAACCACAGGTGGCCGTGATATGGCTGCTGGAACAATGTACAGGGAACATCAGCAGCGGCAGGATCATTTCTTGTCAAGGACGCCGCCTGATGGGAATGGCCCTGGACCGTTTGGTAGGATGCCTCGTGGCGAGCAGCATATGCATTCAGCTACAGGTGGTAGGATGCACCATGGAGAGCAGCATATGGCTCCTGTGGTCACCGGTGGCCGGTTGCCGCACATGGGTCAACGGCCACAAGATCACAGCTTGTCAAACTTGCCACGGAGAGAGCAGAGATGGCAGGGGCATGGAGATTTGAAGGGCCACGCCTCTTTGAAGCCGCCCAATACAAATGTGCATGGTATGTTCAGTATGATGTCAGTGAAAGAACCGCACCAGGCGCCAATGCCCACCAGCGGTTCAGTAGCTATGGATGTAAGGGAGGATAGAGGCAAGAAGACGGTGGCAGAAGCCAATGGTTTGGAGGATGGTGTTGTTGGCGAAGTAGGCTTTGAGCACATTGTTGAAGGAGGAGTAACTTTGGAGGCAAGGAAGTTTGAAGTTTCGTATACGAAGAATGACTTTAGGTCTATTGGGCAGGATGAGGAAGTGGATGATGGCAACAAGAATGATGATGCTACAATTGAGCAGCTGATGGAGACTCTGGTGATTGACGATAATGGTGAGGCCAAAAGCACGGTGGTGCAAATAAATGGTTCAAGGAGTAAGGTAAATTCGATTTATCTTGCAGTGTAATATAAATTTCTAGCTATAACATAGTGCGCTCGCCCTCTATTTTGGTCTTATAATATGAAATGAAACTAATATGTTTTGTTCTTTCTACCATGTGTATTTTATAGCATGCATTTGTTCTAACATCTGAGAAAGACCACCAGGATTCTTAATTTGGTCTCTGTTGTGAGTATTGAATTTAATATGACTTCTAAAAGTAACAGATAATGGAATAAATATGCTTCTGTTGAGGCAAAATGCAAATAAGATACAGCCTTACTGTTCTAGTTGCTCTTGAATTCATCCAAGTTAATGCCACACCTTTTTTTGACATGCTAGTTGATCTTGAACTCAAACTAAACCATATTTATTCATTTAAATCTGTATGGAACTTTCGGGATAGACTTCAATCTTATTTTATTTTGTTCCTGAACTTAAGTGAACTTGTTAATATGAATATACATCTGCATATACTAATTCTTATTAAGTTGAGTCAAGGTTAGACATTTATTATACTGATCAACTGATGTGCTTGTTTACAAGTCTAATCCAAGCAGTGAAACCAAACTATGGGCCTGTTTGGGGGAGCTTTAGATTCTGAGAAGTAGCTGTTTGGTAACCAGCTTCTGAGAATCTGGAAAAGCTCTAAAACCCAGCTTCTCCAGCTTCTAGCTTCTTAGTTCATTTTTCAGAATCTGTAATTGTGGACTGTTTGGGGCAGCTTCTAGCAGAAGTAGCTTTTCTGCAGCTAGGACAAGCTCCCCCAAACAGGGCCTATAGATATGAGCTCAAGCTTAGTCTGACTACACTCGTACTCAAAACTTTCTATAACTTCTGCCTTAAGCTGTGCATAACAAGGCTTTACTGAGTATAGCATGTTGCCAACCCTCAGTTGCGATTGATTTGGACCCATATGTCAGTAACAGTAGATCACATTATAGCTATTGTAATTTACTATTCCGCAGAACAATCAAATAACAAATTTGGTCTGGCAGTTCTAGCTTCAAGTGCGAGCTAACTATCTGTAGCTTTTCCCCAGTTCCATTGTTATGAACCCCCGCTGGTTGCCATTGATACTTAAGCAAATGATTTCACAATTTTGATGATCCTTACACATGTTGGACTTGATCATGTAACTTAGTCATCCTTTCTTTTTTGCCTTGCAGAACTTCAGATCAGATTCTAGAGGAAAAAATGTATCAAGCCAAAGTGTAAGATTTCAGAGGAGAATTAGGCCATGTCGGTATGACATAGATCAATTTACACCTAGTTTTATGTCAATTTTTGAATCTCTGGTGCCCTCGGATGAAGAAATTTCAAAGCAGAAGCAATTGCTGGCAACACTGAGCAGATTAATAAATAAGGAATGGCCTAATTCAAAACTTTACCTCTATGGATCGTGTGCTAATTCATTTGGTTTCTCAAATAGTGATATTGATCTTTGTCTGTCTATTGACGAGAAGGAAATGAGCAAGGTTGACATTATTTTGAAACTGGCACATATTCTCCATGCTGGTAATCTCCGGAATATTCAGGTGAGCTTTAGTCTCCTTTCATGCTGTGTCATGACATGTTAGATCTTTTTGAGTTGAATAATAACTTGGCATATTCGATATGTCCTAAACAAGGGATAATTGATCGTACGCCACCAATTCGATTGCCACCGTAGGATTTTCCACTATTTGTAGCCTAGTTGATAATTTGGCACCGTTTAGACAATATAACTCTAGCATTTGCCATTTTGGACTGTTTTGAATTTATCCTTTTCCATTTGATTGTTTTTGGCAGCCTGGACCGATTTTTTTCTTCCACTTTTGTCCCATCTTCATCCTCTTTTTTCCCCATTCTCACCATCCTGCAGCAATATTGATGGGGTTGAACTCTGAGCGGTCCCCAGCTGCTGCTACTGCAGGGCTTGGGGGTCTGATGTAGCCATAGGTCATTGGCGCAGTCTGTGTGCGAAGGTGGCATAGGTAGGTGGCATGTGGTGGGGGGGTTCTTGAGGAAGCTGTCGCTGCAGTCTGGGCAGGCAACAAGGGGAATCCTCATGTGGTTGTGGCATGCACAAGGTGGTCACAAGTTGCATCAGCAGATGAGGGAAGAGCAGGCAAGCTTGGCAGTGGCGGTGGCAATGATGGGTGCGTGGCTAGATGTCTGTGTAAGACAGCGAGTGTGGTGACATTGGTGACATGTCATGACAGCGGGAGCGATCATCGGCTGTTCAATCTTCTGTGCTGCTGCTGCTCTTCCACATCCTCTAGTCCCTCCACACCTGCTCATTGATCCATCCCAGCTAGAGAGAAATGGAAGTAGGTGGTAGCAAAGTGGCAGTTTATATATATATATCAGCCACATCTAATAGGTTGCAATGAAAAAAGAGAATCAAATTTGTTCCAGAGTGGCATATCCTTGTTGGCTTATCTAATTGGTGGCATATGATCAATTACCCTAACCCCCCCCCCCACCCAAAACAATGTGCTGATGTGGCCTGCAATATCTTTCTAAATCATGTGTCATGTGATATATTCATATATCAAGAGTTCATCGTTTATAACCCAAATTTATGTTGGTACATTGACTACATGCTTTGTGTTTTCCATTTGGATGAAACATTGAATAATGAATATAATGTTTGTATTAATCTATTTTCATTTGAGACTTGTTCCAATATGGTTGGAGTTTGAACATATGTACTAAATTTCTAGCAAATTAATGATTGCAGGCATTAACTCGGGCAAGGGTCCCAATAGTGAAGCTTATGGATCCAAATACAGGGCTATCTTGTGACATATGTGTCAATAACCTTTTAGCAGTTGTTAACACAAAACTTCTAAGAGATTATTCACGAATTGATAAAAGGTTACGGCCATTAGCATTCATTGTGAAGCATTGGGCTAAATCTCGGTGTGTAAATGAAACTTACCAAGGAACACTTTCTAGTTATGCGTAAGTTTCCTGTACAACTCATTAAATGTTATCCCCTTATGTCTAAATGATCATGGTCTTAATTTTGTTATTTTCTTCACACCCAGCTATGTGATAATGTGCATCCACTACTTACAGTCACAGAGAATACTCCCATGTCTACAGGTATCTGGATTATTTATAGTCCAATTTTTGTACAATTATTTATAGTTATGCGTAAGTATTGTCGTCTTTTACATCCATAAAAGACATGTATTGCTATTACAAAACAAACGTTTCTAATAATCCATATATTTGACAATACTTGTCAGTAACCTAGGTTGAATGTATGAAGCAATAAACATATGCAGCATTTTGCACCTAAACCCAATATTTGTTATGTGCAACAATTATGAAAGTAAAAAATGCATGCATCATACTGATTTGGTAAACAGATCAGTAAAAAAGTGATGGGACCACCAGATTATCCACCTAGGCATGCCTTGTTCATCTTTCTCCCCATCCTCATTCTATAAAAAAGCGGTCGGTACATGGTTTCGGGATGATTTGGCAGCCACCTCACTCAATACCTTCCACATGACCAACCTTGGGACATCACTTCGATGATTTTAGTAGTTGAGAGACAAGTTCTATTTTTGACTGGAGTTGAGAAACCATGTGAGACTTCTTCCTAGGTATTATATGCTGTGCCTTTCTGTATATTCTGCAAGTGTTTCTGGATTTTTTTTGTGAGGGACAGCTAGATTATTGGTCTTAAGGATATTTTGCTTTCTGTTGGTTTAGACTTGTCCCATCGTTTTGCCTTGTTGATACTGTTGCTTTTATCCAAGAGGGGAAATTTTCACTTAAATTGAGTAAAGATTATAGTCCCATATGGTGAGAGCATAGTGGGGCATACTTTTGCCTGTGAGAGTTATTCTACCAATATTTGTTGCCTACCATCTCTGTCAAACTCAGGGTGTGTTTAGTTCCACGCCAAAATTGGAAGTTTGAAGAAAGTTGGAACGATGTGACGGAAAAGTTGGAAGTTTGTGTGTGTAGAAAAATTCGATGTGACGTTTTGAGGGTTCAAACTTTGCAACTAAACACGGCCTCATTTCTTTGTTATTAAGGCCCTGTTTAGATCCGACCCCAAAATTTTACACCCAGTCACATCGAACGTTTGAACACCTGCATGAAGTATTAAATATAGGCTAAAAAAATAACTAACAACAGATTGCGACTAATTTGCGAGACGAATCTTTTAAGCCTAATTTCTCCATGATTTGACAATGTGGTGCTACAGTAAACATTTGCTAATGACAGATTAATTAGACTTAATAAATTCATCTCGCGGTTTACTGACGGATTCTGTAATTAGTTTTTTTTATTAGTGCCCAAACATCCCATGCAACATCCTATATAATACCCGATGTGACACGCCAAAACTTTACACCCCTGAATTTAAACACCCCCTAAGATATCATAATTCACAACAGTGCTGCCCTGGCATGTAAAAAATAGAACAGCTGTCATATCTGTGTACCATGTTGCTGCATCTTATTTGCTTTTTACTACCATACCATTATTTTGTTTGCAACTAACAGTCAATGATATGACAGGAAATGGAGCCGACCTATTATGTCACTGTTGATAATAATATTTGTGCATACTTTGATCAAGTGGACAAATTAAATGGCTTTGGTGCTCAATGCAAAGACACTTTATCAAGGTTGCTTTGGGGCTTTTTTCGTTACTGGGCATATGCCCATAATTACACAAAGGATGTAATATCAATTCGGACTGGAAGAACCATTAGGTATGCTACATATCCCACATGTTAAACCACGTTTTCATTTCCACAAATACTGTCATCGTGCTGAGCTTTTGTTCCCTGGTTCCTGTTAGAATAGTCTATGATGTGTAGCATATCCCACATGTTAAACCACGTTTTCATTTCCAGAAAATACCGTTGTGCTGAGCTTTTGTTCCGTGGTTCCTGTTAGAATAGTCTATGATGTGTAAAACGGCAAGCAGCGGCTTTAGAATGCAGCGACGTCCAGTATAGAAGTTTAAATTGAAGTTTCTCTTTTCATTCCCAACTAATGCGTTATGAACAATTGAACTTGTGGCTAAGTAGCTTTAAATATATATTTTTATCGTATACTGGAATATGAAGTAGCTTACGGATTGATTTTCCTTGTCATTTTGGTCTTCTTTCAGTAAGAATATGAAGGATTGGACAAGAAGAATTGGAAATGACAGGCATCTCATTTGCATTGAAGATCCTTTTGAGACCTCCCATGATCTTGGTCGTGTTGTTGACAATAGATCGATCTGGGCACTCCGAGAGGAATTTGAGCGAGCTGCGGAGATATTGCACCTTGACCCAAACCCCAGCATCACACTTTTTGAGCCTTATGTGCCCTCTGAAGCTGAAACATGATACCACAAAATCATCATCATCATGTTCTGCTGTGTCAAGAAGCCCTTCAGTTCCAAAGGAATCTTGTCAAAGCTTATGTCGTACTATGTGCATAGCTTAGCTGTACCATGTATACTTAAGTTGTAAAGTAACTAGGGGCCTCAGCAGTAGGTGGTGACAGCATGCTTCTGCTAAGTGGTAATTGGGGGAAGCCAGCAATATTTAATCAGATTTCTAGTGCTATCAATTCTTATTTAGAAAGGGAGATGTTTGAACTAGACACTACTGTCCGATATTTCATGATAGTTTAGCGTGCAGTAGTTTTTTTCCCTAATGAGAAGAATAATAAAGTTGCTTTAAGCCCACCACTGCAACTGTCATTTTTATGACTTGATAATAGTAAGACATCGAAAGGAGGCTCATCACAACGTGACCATTCTATCCGTCAAGCACGTCTACTTGTGAACATAGTTGAAAAGATCGGACCGGTGAGTGACCCGGTTAATCTCTCGCTTCACCGGTCCGATGGCCTGACCGGTAAACCAGCCAGTCGAACCGCGGTTCGCTACTGGATAAAAACGTTTTTATGTTCCCATATCAGCATTGTAATGCTGGGATGGCTACCGGGTCCAACTTCCAACCCACTCACCAGAGTTTGACTCCCCACCATTACCCTTTTCTTGGTGATTTTTGCCTAAATATCTAGTTATTTCATGCCTTCGAGTTAAATGGGTTGGAACAAGGCCCATTTAAGCAATTCATATGTCTAGGCCGGTCCGATTGAGGCCGGTTTATCACCTGTTTACTTAAAACCAGCTGGTTCCAGTGGTCTAAGGCGGGTCAATATGCAATCAATAGTTTCCTTCAAGATGCAGATTTCCAATTTAAGTTTAGTTTGTGCGATACATCTGTAGCTAAAAATATAATACAGGTTTTCTTTTGTTCTTCAGATGTCTTTTTGAATTTACAGATCAAAGTGATCGTTCAGTTGACATTGGATTGCTATGGATTAAAGGCTAAGTTCCACCGATAAGTTCGGCTAGAATGTTTGGCCACACGCGAAACAAGAAGCTGTTAACATATTATTAATCAAGTATTAATTAATATAAATTAAAAAAAGATTTATTTCACCTTTTAAGAATACTTTTACCCACAAAACTTTTGCACAAGTGTGCTTAGGATAAAACTTTAGTAGAAGCAAGCTTTTGAAGAATGAGGAGGTGGGACATTTAACTATTTGCCACTTTTAAGGTATGAAAATTAAAGATTTGCCATTTGTTGTCTATGGCATATGGGTCTATTAGCAAATAGTTAATTATTTCTTAAGAGGTTGCTGTCTTGCCAATATAAATTACTGAAATGAACTCAATCTAAATGTGTGGATCGGTTACATAATGTATAACGTACACTCATCTTCCCTATTGTTATCGGTCATTGATTATCGTTAGGCCACTTCACAACGTATAGTAATTCCACACATTTTGAAACTACTCAATCCCCATATAAATATGAAAAAGAAAATTCCATCATGGTTGACTAAAAGTTACAAAACAAAGCCAGATCTCGAAGAGTAGTAATGAGCCTAATCAACCTCATGACAAGATCCAGGTCTTCGGCAAGTTGAGCTGTTAGGTACATTCCCAATTCCCCATCTACACTTGACACACACTACGCGGCTGAGAAGACGAAAAAGAAAAATAAAACGAAAAAAAAATAAAAGAAAAGAAAGAAACGATAGGGAAGAGAGATCCGGCGAAATGGCGGCGCCGCCACCGCCGGCGATGGAGCCGGAGATCGGCCCCGACGGCCTCGCCAGGGAGAACCCCGTCATCGCCTACACCGAGAAGGTACGCGCGGGGGGGCAGGCTCAGCCGCCGCCGCCGCCTCCTCCTCCTCCACATCCCAGAACACGTCTCTACTTGATTCGTTCGCACCTAGTGCGATGTTCCTCGTTCATCGCTGCCTGGTTTCTTGATGTGGATTCCGTTCGTCGCAGGTGATTTTGGAGGAGCAGCTGCAGCTGAAGAAGTGAGTTGTATCTTCCTCACCTCCCTAAGTCACTTGCAGTTTCGTCTCTACTGTCTGCGATTCTTGGATCTGCATTGCCTTTCTTTATGTGAATCTGCATCTTTCCCACCACTGGAATTGATGAGAATTGAGGATGAGGCCACGAGAGAAACATAAATTAATTGGACTAGATCATGCATTTTTTTTCAGTTAAGATCATACATCTTTCTGGAATCATTTTCTGTCCGTCCCTGTCACCTACAATGATTTAGAGAGGAATGTGGGATTGAATTGTATGAGTGCGCACTGTGGTATGGACTTACATTTACCAAAGGAGCAAGGTTCTACTCGTTAGAGACAGGAAATACTTTAGCTATGTCTATTTTACTAGGAGCTTACTCAAAAATGTGTATGGTGGCATCCAGTAAGTCCCATTGATGTTAATTTTATAGACATGGGAGATGAGATGTAAATCCTGCATCAATGACATGAGATTCTAGGTCGTACATTGCTTTTATTAGCTTCTGTCCTTCTACGAAAAATGCTATCTTGATTTAGGGACATGTCTTAGTAGCCTGACTGTTAGCAAAATGCAGTTCACTGATGAATTGTGCGAGCGTTCGCCTTGCTCTTCCATTGGTTATGAATAAAGTAAATTCAACAGTAATTTTCTTCCTTTATTTATCATCAGTAATGGAATTATGTTTTGTCTTGTTATAATTATGATATTTTTACTCTGTTCCGTGTGAAGCTGATATATGATTTGATTTGATTTTAGCCTGTTTTACAGCTACGTCCTCAATTTCCCCGTTTTCTTTGATAACATTATGTTCCTAGAGATCCCCATGTTTTTTTAGCACAGGCAATGTTGTAATACCATACTTGGTGCATGTAGGTCTGTAGGGCTATGCATTCTTTTTCTGCACCTGTGCATATCATAAGGATCATAGGCTGATGCCAAGATAATATTTCTTCATATTTACCTTGAATTCTTGAATCCATTGCTTAGGTCATGGAGCCTTCTTGGATTTTGAGACATTAGAATCCATCCATTTTTCAATCAACATTAAGCAGATTTTAGAATCTTGACAGATGACAACGTTTGAGCTTGCCATTTCTGGGGACCTATTTAACATGGAAACTGGCAGCGATTTAGCATAAATCTATGTACGTTTAGTCAGGCATCATAGGTTACACCAATTTGCGCGTGTCAACTTTGTTGCTATGTTTTACGATTATGTTGTGTTCTGATTAGTTTAACTCATTTGTTTCATTATTACTCAAACTAAAAAGTTAGCACTGTTTCTCAGATACATTCAGGAGAACTATTCCAAAATTCGTGATGTTGAAAAGGAGCTAGAGAATCTGAGTTTAGAAATGAAACTAACAGCTGGGCCAAAGAAAGCAGGTAGTTAACATTGTTTCCAAGACCTTGTATTGTTTCACATCTGTACATGGAATACTTTAATTGGCTGACCTGTTTCTTCTTTGTCTTTTCTGGTTCCAGCACTTGAGCATTTAAGAAAAAAGATTGAAATATCAACAGAGAGAATACGGTTGGCTAGGGTGAAAGAGGAACAGGCAAAGAAGGTTGAATCTGCTGACGTTTGACTTGAGTACAAATACTCTCTCTGTTCACGAATCACGAATACTTATTACTTTGGACCACTTTATTTGTTTACAGATACTCTACGTTTTTCGGAACCACAGTTTTCCATTTTGTCTACACATCCCACTTGTAGTGGAACATTATTTGGGGTTAGTTATTTGGGGGTAATTTGGTCATATTGGGTAAAAATACTAAATACTTGTGTTGGTAAAGGAGAAAGTATTTGTGAAAGGGAGTACATAATTTACCAACTACTTGGTATACATGTCCGTTTTTCTTTTAGTAGCTGTCGATCTCATGAATGGAATGAAAGGATGGAACTCCTTTGTCAAACACAAACAAACTCATGTTTTTTCACCAAAACTGTAGGTCTGTTATTAGTACATGACATTAGAATTAGTACAACTGTTAAACCCCTAATACACTGAATTTTTTAGATAAAGTGTTCTGTTGTAGTATTGGTGTTTGTGTTCCGAAATGCATGAGTACATTGAAAGAAGGTAAACTTTAAAGTTGTAATGAACGTTTTGTCTTCCTGCTAGTAAGTTATCGAACCAGTGTCATGTTTTTGCTCTGATTCTTCTTCTGTTAGGAAATACCAATCCTATATTGGCTTTGTCATCCTCTGTTTAGCAGATGTATGGTATGGTTACTAGGTAGTGTTGCTCGATACCCGAGCTTGCACCAGTATTAGTGTGTGAACTTTAGGGTCCAACTTGTAGCTGCACCTTCTCTATCCATTCTATATTTTGTTCGTTAAATATCTTGTATTATATTTCTATCTTCTGTTCTTAAGCCTTAAGCTGTTTCCTTTGTATTATATTTCTATCTTCTGTTCTTAAGCCTTAAGCTGTTTCCTTTCTATTTACTGATTGCTCTATCTGTTTTTTGTATTTTAGGCCTGGGAAGCTGCTGCACAAATTGTTAAAGACGAAGAGAATGCTAAGCAGAATCTATGTGATGATCTGAACCGGCTGGTATGTGTTCTCTTTCTCTAATTCTTACTCATATACCTTGTAGATTTCTTATTGCATCACCAGATTCATCAGATTCTTAATACAAGATAACACTTGATTGATCGACTTGATTATTAGGTCCAAGAGAGCGCCGCTTCCCAATTTTCAAGATTAGAGGAGCTAAAGAAGCGTTTAGAATCCCTAAATCCCAGCCGGGCTTCTGTTGATGTCTCTGTAAGTTCAGATCCCTGTGGTCATCAACCTGATCGAGTCCCTCATAAATTGTCGAAAATCTGTCCTTTCCTGATTCTCACTCTATGTAATTATCAGGGTATGAATACTGCACAGCATGCAACCACAAGTTCAGTGCCTCAGCAGGCTGCGGCACAAAATCCTCAAAATGCACCTAGCCCTGCAAATAATGCCAACCATGACTCCAGCGGACTATCCCAGCAGCAAAGACCTGCCGATGCAGAAAGGAAGAGAAGACCATCACAAATGGGACGGGGGAGAGGGGGTGTGATGATCCTCCCCAAGGGAAGAGGAAGTTCAGGGTCAGGATGGACAGGTGCTGGGTTTGATGTAGATGGCCGTACATGATTCTAGGGTTTGTAGTTACGTTTGAATTGTTGAAAATTAGAATTATCTCAGGAGTTCCAGGGCAAACAACAGTGAGAATGTAATGCATTATTGATTATTTGTTTACCAAATATATATGTTGACATGTGTAGCAAAATATTCAAAGTGTAACTGCCAATACAGTAAAAGAGTTTATTTGATTATATATCGAATAACGTGTCAGTAATTCTTTGGAGTTAAGGACCTCTTATTTATGGAAAAGTCGTGTCAATAGTACAGTTAGTGGTGTAGCAACTCAAAATCAATTTAATTCTTTCAGAATTCGTTCCATTTCAATGCAAGATTCAATCTAGTTCCTGTGTATGGGTGGGTGGGTTGTGTTTGGGGGTGGGGGTTGGGGGATGTAGGTATGAGAATCATCTTCATCTTCCTTTTACTCGTAAGAACAGAAAAAGTTGCCATATTCACCTGTCTTTATATTACTCTAGAAGCGGAGTTGCCTGTCCACCTCTTCGTTTGTAGGCAGCTGCTTTGTAGCCAGGCGCAACAATGGTTACCAACCCAATTTAGATTCATGACCCATCTCCGCCTATGGTTTGGATCCGTCCAGCCCAAAAATTTTACAAGTCCCATTTTCAGTCCAGCCCAACTTTTACCTTTCCAATTCAAGAGCATGAACAAAAGTGGATCCTCAACTAGTGGCTTCATCGTGTAGGCAAAAACAAATGAGACCACCGTTCAAGACACCTTGTTATCATTGCTAGAGTGGTTTGACTGGTTTCAAAGTAATTTGCTAGAGTACACTTTCAGTTTAATTGAAAAGATAAATTATTAAGAAAGACGAGAAAGCCTCTAGACTACATGCTTCAAACATGGCATAAGAGTAAAAATTTAAAAATTATGTAGCTCTAAATTTGCCATCACCCCAAGTACATCGCTAACATACATCATATTCCATCTTCACTTCGGTCTTAGCTCAAAAGCTTTTGATATTAGGGGCATTCTCGTCTTTTTGAAAAAAATCTTTCTCTAATTGAGCCAAAGGTGTCCCACTAAATTACCAGTTTTAAAAGTATCTTTCAACCGTGATACGTTTTTATGATGTTTAACATCAAACTACACAAATTTTGAGTGTCATATAATAAATTCTATCTTTTCGGCTAGATATGCTAGATAGCTTTATTTGCATTCTTCTTCCTCTCTTTGGAGAGAATACTACGTGCTGTTACACTGATAATGTGGGGGCCTGAAACTGCTCTTGTGAAATTTCCAGTTTAACTAGAAGATAAATCTTACGGTTTTAAATATACTAGAGATATGCTCGTGCCTTCTTAGGAGATAAAAAAAATAGTGATTCAGTTTCTTTTATGCTGGTTTTCACGGGCTTTTCTAGAGCGGTTTTTTAAAGGTGAGGGAGCGGTTTTTTTAAGGGAAGGGAGAAGAACGGCTGTGCTTTTAAAATAGTTAAGATATAGGTCCTTAAATTAATCACAGCCCGAGCATGAGGAGGTTGGATAGGAGTAGGAGGGAAGAAGTGGGAGCGGAAGAGGAGAGAACGGAGAAAAATGAGTAGGAGAGAGAGATAGAGATAGATAGAGAGAGAGAGGCATTTTCATAGACTCATCTGTGCTATGTGTGTAGGATCGCACAAGACCAAACAAATCTACCAGGGGGTGAATGGTAGGGAAAACCAAAAACCTAAAAATCTTTTGCGGAATTAAAGATTACCCTCGAACGAAATAGACGACGAAGCCCTGTTGCCACCGGTCAGACCGCCCACCTGCCGTCGGTCAGACCGCCAACTCCTCGCCGGTCAGACCACCCGGACACCTGCGGTCAGACCGCCACTATCCCACTGGTCAGACCTCGCGCACACCTGCGGTTAGACTGTCGGGATCCAGAAACACCGGTAGATGATAAACTCGAAGATGTAGATTGAAACTTTTCGACTTTATTGCATCAACTAGTGTTTACAAAGTGCACCAACAGCACTCCTCACCAAAATCTCGAACTAAACTCGAAACCCTAACTTTCTCTCAACTCTAGTCTCTCTAAAATCGATACTAGGAAGCCTCACCCTCCCTCTTTATTTATACATGAGGTAGGCTATGCAAAGCCCACGAATCTAACACAACTTAGGACTCCTAACCCACGTAGGACCGATTTCGTAGCCATCGGATAGGATTGGTTTTGAAGAACAAGATGGTTCACAAAGATTAGCCCGAGGAGCAGAAAGGTTTTGAATTGTGGGTTGCTCCATCAAAGAAAGGAATAAAATAAGAAGAAATAAAAATAAAGATACGAGGATGACCTAGACTTGGATAAATTAGCAACCGTTCCCCGGCAACGGCGCTAGAAATGCTTGTTGGTATTTCTTACGATCACAGATAAATCCGCAAGTGCACAAAATACCGCTGTAGCACTTCACCTTCGGGTGACCCCAAAAAGATATCGAACTCAGGGAACGTGTGTAATCTACCTAAGGCTAAGACTATCCAAGGACAACAACTGATGATAGGTAGGCTAGGCTAGAGATGACTTTCTATGTGTTTTAGTTATCTACGCTAAGCAAGGTAATTCCCTATCTGTTGCTTCGGGCACCGACCCCTGCTGGTCTGCCAGCGTGGTTCCAGCTATAGCTCTATGATGTATCTGAACGTGGAGGATTACTGGGACGGGATTCAGGGCTGTCACCACCTGCCGTCTACCTCTGACAAGTCCGTGGGATACACAACAAACAAAGGTAATCTCTAACCTAGACACCACGTCTAAGTTATTAATTACTACTCTAATACTTGTACAGGAACTTCCTTCTTTATCCAGAGTCCTAGTACTAGAGCACTTAGTACGAATACTAAACAATGAACCCGCAAAGATGGAAATCTATCTTACTTAAACAAAGTAATTAAATAACATAAGAAAGGAACACGAATGCTTACTTAATAGAAGAAGGTTCTCCGAACCCGGAGCAGAGTGTACCGACAGCTCCGGTACTCCTCTAGAATTTCTCCTAGAAGGCTACACTCGTCGAGGTAGAAGTCGGATGAGCGCCAAACTTCCAGGCACCCCTCCAGAGCTTCCCCTCACTCTCTACCTTATTCTAATGTACAAAAGATACGATAGAACATCTTGTAATTCAGCTCAAAGTTGTGTGTCTTGAAGTGAGGGAGAGGAGGTATATTTATAGCCTCCATATGACGGTTACAGCTATGGGAAATGTCCTAAATGCCCTTCCACCGTCATTGAGACTTCATCCAGAGCGTATGCGTGGAAGGCCAGGATGAGAGAAGGCTGTGGGGTTTGGCCGAACCCTGAGCTCCACCTCCTGGCTTCTCCTTTGGCAGGGTCACTGATTGGTGGGCCCTGATGGCGGTTATGGCAGTTATGACCCGTTCCATGACGGTTTCACCTGTCTCGTGGGACCTCCAATCCGTGTGCTCGCGTCTGATTGGCCAGAAGTGTGTTTCCTCACATGCCAGGTGTGTTTTCTCCTTAAAATACCTGCATACGCATATTTCACAAATACTAGTGGAATTGATTAGTAATAATCCCTACCACTAAGTTGGATAACATGTTTTATTTCATTATATGCAGATATTGACTGTCAAATATTATGATTTAAGGACCGTCAACAGGCACTCGGCCGGTCTGACCGCCAGGGTCAACCGAAACTGCATACTTCACAAAATCAACCATCTCATAAAATCTCCAAATTAATATTAGCAAACCACCAATATTTTCATCACAAAATCTAAATCAACTCCTTGATTCTACAATCTCCCCCTTGATGAAAATCATTGGCAAACAACAAATGGTTTGTGGTGTTTTGTGAAGCAAATCCAAAAAGCATCTCTATGCCAAAAATTTTCACAGAAAATTCTCTCACTTTTGAAAAGAAAGAAATTCCTTCTACTTATGACAATTATGCACAATTTGTTACCTTGTTCCCCCCCTTTTGACAATGAGTTCATCAACAATTTTTTTTTCAGAGAGCTTTGCTATACCAAAAGTAATTCAAGAACATGTGTTGCAATAACAAGGTAGATAGCATGACAATCTAGTTAACAAGCATGCATAGAAGTGTAAACATGAACCTAAGATATTGTCAAAAAGATCAAATCAACACTAAAGATTCATGACTTCAAATGATTTATAATGCAATATATTAACAAGCACAAAGGTTGAAAAACAAACACTATTATTTGAGCCTATTGCATTTATCACTCTTTCTCAAATTAGCTTTAGCACAAAACAATCAAGAGAATTTTTTTTCACTTTTATTTGAGCCTTTTTGCTCTTTTTTTTCTCTCAATTATTCCGGGTACGTCCTTGTCGTCAAGACTGTTTCCAAGGGTTCGGCACCCATTATTTTTGCTCACATTGAATACGTCCTTGCTGTCAAGACTGTTTCCAAGGATTCGGTATTCATTTTTTTTTCTCATAGATATTTTTTCATTCTCTTGCACAATGAGCAATTACAAAGTTATTTGAGGAATAACAATTTCAATAAAGCATATATATAAAGCATTTATGAATCAAACTATATGCTAGCATCAATATTGCATATTTTCTTAATTCAAGTAAAAGAGTTAGTGTCATGCATCATCTCACTTCAAGACAATATCAAAAGTTCATATAAAAACTAACATGCACACAAGCTAGTCTAGTCACCATATTACCTAACATGTATGGCTAGCATGCACTAGAATATACTAAGGCACAAATAAAGCTCTTCTTCTTTTTCAATTTTTTAATTTTTTTATCACACCATGCATGAATAAAACATGTATGCAAAAAGAAAAATCAAAAGAAGAATAGAAAACATGAATGCAACAAAGAGCCAAAACTCCCTCTCAATTGATGCCAAAAGGATGAACAATCCCCAACTCGCCTCGAAGAAAAGCAAATCGAGAAGAATCCAACGGTTTTGTGAAAATATACGCCAACATGATCCCTCAAAAAGTGATAGCGAATATCAATGTGCTTCGTGCGTGAGTGTTGTACAGGATTCTAAGCAATATTAATAGCACTAGTATTATCACAAAAGAGAGGAACTTTCTCAAAAGTAAGACCATAATCTCTCAAAGTTGAAATAAGCCAAAGAATCTGAGAACAACAACTAGTAGCAGCAACATATTCAGACTCAGCAGTTGATTGAGCAACATTAGATTGTTTCGTAGAAGACCAAGCCATCAAAGAAGTACCAAGAAAATGACATGTTCCACTGGTACTTTTCCTAT